ATAAACATCAATCATGTCCTGGGCATTAACTAACGAGAGGCTGCCTTTTCTACCACGAATGATACCAGCATTATTTATAAGAACATTTAATCCTTTATTACCAACAATTTCGCTAATGGTTTTTGCAACACCTTCATAGCTGTCAAAGTCAAGAACATCTGAAACAAAATGATTAAAAAAGTACAGTATTACGTTTCCTTTCAACTTTTCAAGATAGAAAAGTAGGATCAATAATTTATACCAAGCTTCATAATTTTTAAATTTGAATATTTTTTCGCAAGGGCTTGTAGTTCCTGCAACAATTACATTTCTGTGAACCTACATTAAATTGAAAACTACAGCATAACTACAAAAGTAAGCGGGGGTTATCATCCACCTGGCACATAACAAATGTTTTGGCATGTCACTCACGGTGGCAGAGTCTGGATTCCTGCAGGTTGCGAACAAAGTTGCTGGAGGGTTAGCATGGGCAAGGAGCTGCTTTACAATCTCCAGTCCTATCCCACGATTGGAACCAGTTATGAAGACAGATGACATGCTGGTCTGGGGGGATAGAGATAGGCGAGTTTACGTTGGGAATAAAGATTCGTCTGCAGTTAATTGTCAAAATTAGTAAAACGCTGCCCCGGGCCTATCCCCACCACTACTGTCCGGATCCGGTTTTTCTTTTTCTTACTTCCTTTTCGAGCTCCAATGAAATACCCAATTGCTGGGAAAGTAAAGTACCGGTACCTGTTGCAAGACTTCGATCTTAGGACGTCCTGAACCTTCCCGTCTGTAGCCTGAGGGACAACTAGGCTCTGGCGGGAGAGGCTAGAAAACAGATTACGCAGCTGTGTCAAGAGTTCCCCAGATAAGCTTAGTCACCATGTACAGACCACGTAGGTACTGTAACAGTACCGGGTGATTCAGAACACGCGCCGCTGTCGGCGGTTTTGCCTACTCTGTCCGCCCGTAAGGCGCCATAGCCCCTAGGGTATGCAATCCCGCAACAACAGTGAGTGGAGTGGCCTGTCCAAACCATAATGCCCGCCAGGTCGACACACCCAAGCGCCTTCTGATAGAGACAGTCTTGTTGGGGACTGTCTAAAAACAAGTCCTAAGTGGAGAAGGCAAGCGAGAGGCGTGAGTTGTCAGAGCGGCCTGATGTGGTTGTTATGTTGACCACGGTCAGTGCCGGCAGAGCATCGAATGGGATGGGCCGTAGCCTCGCTGTTGCGGGGCGTGGCGGGGCGTGGCGGG